CTCTAGAAAAACTTTGCCAGAGCTTCGCTACACTGAGATCGCACAGCGGAGAGTGGCCTGGCCTTGGGGTATTTATAGGCGCTGGGATTCGGGCTTGGGCCTGGAAACCGGGCCTCCGGTTGGATCGCCATCATTACAAACCGCGGTATCGCCCAATCGGTGACGCCGCCCACGGACAGCCAACCATCACGCGCCACGTGTACCCCCCCCCCAACGGCTATATCCTGACGTTACGTATTCCAACGGCTATATTTACAACGGCTATATTCTGGGAGCCCTCGGACTTTTTTTACTTCACTCCACTTCACCAAGGAGAGCCTCCGGGTACACTTACCCCAGAGGCGCCCCCGGTTTGTGCCCCACACAGTACATAACAGACGCCTTCGGCATCACTCCTTCAGAAGCCCAAGGCTTCATATCAGGCCACCCCTCGGGGATTCCCCCTCAGCACTATAAAGGCCGAATAGCCCCCGGGGAGTACGCCTCATTGACGGATAGCCTACAGCACGCAGGCAATGGGAGCCCTCGGATACCCCCATCACCAACTAATCAACAAGCAGGGGACCCCCCGGCGACAACTCAACTACTGCCCTCATTCATCACGCCCTCGATCCCCAGATCGACGGGCCCCCCGGTACCTCCCAGGACATCAACAGCGTGCCTTCGGCAATACAACAAACATGCCCTCAGACTATGAGAGCCTTCGGCATCAACATTTCGCTTCATTCCAAACCAAGGCTTTAACCTTTTTGATTCATCCTTGGGGGAATTCGGTGCACTCTTTTTCCCTCATTAGGATTTTTTCCCACAGGGTTTTTCCTAATGAGGTTTTTAACGAGGCATCCCCCCAAAATGAAACGAAAAGCGTCAGCCTTCGGCCCACAATAGCAACGCAACTACTCTACTCCTTTTCACCACTTTACAAGTGCCTCAAGGAGTGGGGGACTGGAGGACCCCCTCGGGAAAATTATTAAATCACAAAATTGGTGAAAAATTCCAACAAACGGCAAAGCAAGCCCTCAAGTCCCGACATGTGGGTTACTGAGGGACTGCCTTCGGCAGGGACATGCAAGCGACAAACCAACCTCAGAAGACACAAATTACTCCTTTTCCCTCAAGTACCTTTCGGCAAAAGGAGTGAGAGACTCCTGATGGAGTATATGGCTCGGGAACACCCGGCCCACAGACTCCTACTGCTCCAGTGAAAGCCCAACAGGCCCAAAAGGCCCAACAGGCCCAAATCACAGCGCCCAGAGTACCAAGCAGCCCGCAAAGCGCACCAAGGGTGCCTTCGCCCCCCCGGCCGAAGGCTCTAAATTCTCACAGAACGGGTTTTCCAAGCAAACTAAGAAACTGGGAGAAAAATGGCAGAAAACAGTAGCCCTCGGCATCTGGAGCCCTCGACACTCAGGGATCCTCGGCACCAAGAGCCCTCGGCTAGTCCTCTGCAGCCGAGGGCACCTCTCCCGACATGATGCCCGCCTCACATGCGTACAGATCACCGTACCCTGTACAACGTCCCATCCAACAGCCGCATTAAATGCGGCCACATGCGTTTGCCAGCGCCAACCGGATGAGGTGACCTCTCGGCCAATGGATGCTTGACACGTGTCCCTGTCCGGCATTTATTGCTACTATAAATAGCACCCCTTTTCCCCGTTGTAAACCACGACATTCATACTGAATACACTCTCTCTCTTACTTACTTGTGCTCTGACTTCTCTCTAAGTTATTCTCAGCAATAACCCCTCGGATATATACCCCCCGGGTACACTATCCATCACTCGGGTTCCTCGAAGCCTTCCTCTACCATGTCCCACACATCTTCCGATCCAAGTATTGCCTTCATGCGAATGCTCCAATTATCATAATTCTCCTTTTTAATGGAGGAACTTGAAGAGAACCGGCCATTTTTGGGTGATGACCGAACGTCTCTGATACCACTGTTGGAAATAAGTGAAGGAAGATTTGGGAAATTGGGAGGCTAAATTTGAAATATTATGGAAGAGATATTTGAACAAAGGGGAAGAACTCTTTTTATTAGAACAACTCAATTTGCTTGATTTGCTTGATACAAAGTGGTGGTAGGGGAGCTCTATTTATACTAGTACAAAAGCATCTAGACTCTTCTATAATTAATGCATTCTAGATAATTCTATACGATTAATGATAGGAGAGTTCTAGAGACCATATCTTCTAGAGAAGCTCTAGAATTTTTTTCTTGTACATTTTTCTATCACTTGGGCCTTCCCAACAACAACTAAAACTAAATATTAATTAGGCCCAAAAACAAGTTTAATTTTCAACACGGTGTAGATTGGAGGGCTGTAGTCCAGGACGGGTGGACCGCCTGGACAGCTAGATCCGGCCGACGGGCTGATGTAGGGTCCTAGATGGCACGGGGCGGCATGGCTGGTGGCCATACGTCGTGTCTTTGTCACATACTTGCTTGACTCCCGGCCCTCTTCGTGCTTCACAAGTTGGCAGGTGCATGCGCCACGTAAGGAGCTGAGGCCGCAGCTCGAACTTCGGGTGGAATAAGTCTGGTAGAATGAGAAATCTTGTGTTGGGGACGCACATATAAAAACCATTGTACTTGGAGTTTTCATTTATTTTTAGTAGGTAGAAATGCAGATAATTGCATTGTTAAATTGCTGTACGTAATGCTCTAGTAAGTGATTAAATGCATTGTTAAATTGCTGTAATGCATGCACATCTCGTTTTTATGTGTGTTTTTGTTAAATTTGTTAGTAAATTGCATATATAAATGGCAATCCAAGCATTGAATGATCAAACATATTTTTCACATTTTATATGTGTGATTGTGTACTGTAAACATTCAATTAAAGATTCCTACGTAGTATAATTAGTACTACATATTAACTAACTCAGTCTAAAGCCACTAGTTCAATTGCAAATAACACAACCATATTTTATCTTTAAAAGATAGCTCATTCAATGCAAATACTATTAACTACTTTTGTTATGAATAAATGTGTCCAATAAGTACGTTTAACAACAAAATAAATATCTAATTTTTCTCTTTTCATACTATTGTTTTGTCATAAATAAGACATTGTATTATATATAGGAAGTTTTAGGAGAACGTAGTGTTGTGTAGGCACATGAAAATTGTTATTTACTCCTAATTCCCTAAGTATATTAATGCTTCATTCCATAGTACCGTATAATATCCATCCTAAAATCCATAACATAATAGTTTGATCTCCGCATACTTTCTTCAAAAATAATAATTAATTACACATATCATGGCTATTAAAATCAGGTATTGATTAGTCTGAGAAAAAAGAATGTACATAACACATAGCTAATGATAAAATTAGTGGTCGAGATACACATATATACACACCATTAAGTTTTTTCATTTATTTTGAGTAAGTAGAAATGTGGCTCATTCAATCTTAAAAAAATATTATTAACCACATTCTTTTATATGAACGATTGATTATGATTTTAAAAACGAAAAAAAGACCTGTTTTTTTAATGTTGTGTAATGTTCAGTAGTGTAGACTTGAAAATGTAATTCTTGTTTAATTACAACATACATGATCTTAAGCTTAACGTGAAACAAGAGTATATATGATCCTCGTCATTAGTCATTTACTCTGTGATATATGATATACCACGCTAGATTGTGGTAATTTAGTACTCCATGAGGTAATGCTTTCAGGCATTAATATTAATGCTACAATCTCATCGTCATTTGACTATATTGAGATATGTTTTTTTCAAATAACATATTCCGGCCTCTTTTAACAATTGGGGTATCAAAATGCATCATTACCATTAACCGAAGTCTATTTTGGTATTGACCGTAGCTTGGCATTTTCTTCGTAAGTGTGTTGTTCTTTGATGGCAAATCTTAACGGCGGTATTTGACATTTAAAGGAAAGAACTGCATCAACATCATACACCAAAGTGTATGAAGTAATAATTCAAGAAAATATATCATAACTACAACTAAGTTGTAGACACCATATGTCCATAAGTGTATGCTCCATAATGGGCACAGCTTATATTTTACTTTAAGGTTCTAGCAAACTAAATTTTTTGCGAAGTGACATAATTGTAAATAATCCGACATGGTAGGTGCACGACACTCGCACAGTAGTTGCATGGAATCTCATAGACACTGATCAGAAGAATTATAGTCATTACTTAATTACTTCAACTCGAAAGAAAATCAAGTATCATGTAACACCTAATATCATCTAGGATTGGGATCAAACTTGTTTATTTCAAAGTTCTTGGATTTCGATAAATAAATTGTTTATGTCAAAGTTTAAGCAAACTTTTATTTTAACATATGGGCTTGCTATTGAATTGTCATGCACAATAGGTGCACCACACGCGCACTGTAGGTGCACAAAATCCATGTAGTTGGTGCATAGAGGAGGAGGCATAGTTACTTGATTGTGAATAATCTTGCATTATAAGTGCACATGTCGATGTAGCTAGAGCACACAGGAGGAGGTGGGCAAGGAAGAAGGGAAGATAGGGAGAGGGGGAAAGGAGGAGAAAGAACTCTCATGTTTTTGAAGAATATGGATGGAGAGAAGTACCTATATACTAGAGGTATGGTCAACATGAGGCCTAAACAACAAAAAAATCCAACTAGGCTGGTTTCTTAAATTTTATAACCCAAAACCGAACTAAAATTATTCAGGACCCAATTTTTCAGAAACCAATTTTTCAGTCCGGTTTTTTAATTTTTGTGAAAGAACCGAATTAACATCCACATAATCGTATATTAATACGATATTTGTGTATGGAGTAGCTCTTAATCGCACTTAAGCATTAATAGCTACCTATTTCATATTTTCTACAAAGGAGCCATTATATAAGAAGATATGAAGTGCAAATCCTCTGTTCCATCCGGTGTGGGACTAAATAACCGCTGAAGAAAAACCAAAGGAAAAGAGTTGGCTAAGGAGAAAAACTAAAATACAAGGAAATTCAGGGCTGGAGGGAATATGATAAATATGAAGCTCAATAAATAATATATATAAATAGCACCAGAATATGATATCTTTATTAATCAATCCAAAGTGCCTTTTATAGGACTTAACAAAAACTAACTTTCCAGAATATTAAGACATGATCTATAACTCATGCACTCAGCTAAACATAATAACAGAAATTGACTCTAACTGCAACCCATAACAATACGTCAATTATTTCTTAATTAAAGCACGCTAATTAACAAACCCTCCCTTGAAATTAACTCTCCGAAGAGTTTCCTTAAAAAAAACTCTCTGAAGAGTTCATTTCACCGAGTTCTGGGACAGTTTAATAGTAGATGTGTTATCACATAACACTGCCATGCTTCCAGCTTGTGCATGACTGTTTTCTGCCAATATTCTTCTCATCCAAATAGCTTGACATGCACATGTAGTTGCTGCCACATTCCGCTTTAGTGGTTGAAAGAGTGTTAGAACTCTGCAATTCTACAAACTATTCACAGAAATTCAACAAGAAAGAAACTGCAACTTTTATTCACAAGGCAGCAATGGCTGAAGCCCCCAAAGATAGAGATACAACTTTGATCTTCCCAAAATGACTAAATTCAAAACAGCCTGCTAACAATCTCCCATCTATTACTATTTATAGCAAGTAAGTAACTACTCTACTAACCGGAAAACAATTATTAGCTACCAACAACTAATACTAATAACTAACTTTACTTCCTTCTAGAATATACTGTCAAAGTATTTATCATCTCCCCTCAATTTAGTAGAGTCTCTAACAATACTCCCCCTTTGAAAATTCAACTTGTCCCCAAGTTGGAAGGCTGCAAATTGTTGCTTGATGATATCTTCCTTTTTCCAAGAATCTTCAAAGTCTGGAAGATCTTCCCAGTGCACCAGAACTTCCTTCTCTCCATTAGCATTTATTCTGACATCCTTTATCTTCTCAGGTTTGACCAGTAACTCACACCCCTCTGTCATACCTACTGGAAGATCTTGGTATGTACTAGTAGGCTTCAAAACCTTCTTCAATAGAGAAATATGAAACACAAGATGGACTCTACTCCCCATAGGTAACCTTAACTTGAAAGCCACTGGGTTATTCTTCTCTAGGATCTCAAAGGGTCCATAAAATCTGGGGCTTAATTTCTAATTGTTCCGGAGGGCTAAACTCCTCATTTTATATGGTTGTATCTTCAAAAACACACTGTCTCCAACTTCTATCTTCACTTCCCTTCTGTGCTTATCTGCTTGTTGTTTCATTTGATTTTGAGCTTTGGCCAAATGCTCCTTTAATTCCTTAAGCATCTCATTTCTTTTTGCTGTCAGCCTTGAAACCTCCTCCACTGCTGATAAATTGACATCCCCTCTAATGATTACAGGTGGGTCTTGACCAAACAATGCCTTATAGAGAGTATTCTGTAATGAGATATGATAGTTGGTATTGTACCATAGTTCAGCCCAAGGTAACCATTTAACCCACTATTTTGGTTTCCTCCCAGTCATGCATCTCAAATAAATCTCCGAGCACTTGTTTACTATTTCAGTTTGTCCATCACTCTGAGGGTGATAAGTTGTACTATACTTCAATTTAGTTCAACAATTCTAACCAGAATGTACTCAGAAAGAGGCTGCCTCTATCACTCACTATGGATTCAGGAAATCCATGAATCTTCACTATCTCCTTCATAAACAATTATGCCACTACCTTAGCATGATAGGGATGTGCTAATGGCAGAAAATGTGCAAACTTGGTTAATCTATCAACCACCACCAGTATGGTATCTTTCCCCAATGATTTAGGTAACCCTCCAATAAAATCCATACTTATATCACTCCAAGTATGAGTAGGTATAGGCAATGGCTGCAGCAACCCAACAGGTTTTAGAGCTTGATACTTGTTTCTTTGACATATATCACACCTTTGAACAAAGTTTTGTATCTCAGATCTCATTCCCACCCAATATAATAGATTTGAGATTCTTTTCATTGTTCTGAAGTATCCGTAATGTCCTCCCACAACTGATTCATGGTATTCCTTCAATATTTTTGCTATTCTGCTAGACCCCTGAGGAATTATCAATCTCCCATTGAAATACTGTAATCCACCCTTGATCCTATAGTTCTTCACCTTGTCAGGCTGAGTTAGGACCTTCTGGGTTAAGCCTCCACACCAAGCATCCTTCTCCAATTCCTCCTATAATCCCTTCCATTCTTAACAGGTGACTATGGATAATGAATTCATAGTCATCTTTCTAGAAAGGGCATCAACTGCTCTGTTTTCCACCCCTGGTTTGTATTTGATAGTAAAATCAAATCCCATGAGCTTGGTGATCCATTTTTGCTGATCTTCTCCCATAACCTTCTGCTCAGTAAGGTATTTCAAACTCCTCTGATCAATTAAAACCTCAAATTTCCCTCCTAGCAGGTATGGTCTCCATTTTTGGACTGCAAACACTATGGCCATTAATTCCTTTTCATAAACAGACTTCAACTGGTGTTTTGGGGATAACTCCTTGCTCATAAAGGCTAGGGGTCCACCTTCTTACATCAAGACAACACCCACTCCCTTCCCTGAGGCATCAGTTTCCAAGGTAAACATTTTAGAGAAATCATGAGTGCTGAGCACCGGTAAAGTAGTCATAACAGTTTTCAATTCTTCAAATGCCTTTCTTGCCCTTTCATCCCAAATGAACCCCCTTTTCTTCAACAAGTTGGTCAAGGGTGCAACAATCTTACTGTACCCCTTGACAAACCTCCTATAATAGCCAGTCAAACCCAGGAATCCTCTCAATCCTGTGGCTCCTTCCAATCCACCATTGCTTCTATTTTACTGGGGTCTGCAGAAACTCCTTCCTCTGAAATAATGTGGCCCAAATACACCAATTGTTGCTGGCCAAAAGAGCATTTCTTAACATTTGCCACCAATTTATTAATCTATAAGGCTTCTAGAATCTTTCTCAAATGTTCCTTGTGCTCATCGATGGATTTGTTGTACACTAATATATCATCAAAAAAGACCGGAGCAAATTTCCTTAAAAAAGGTCTGAGAATTTCATTCATTAAGGCCTGGAAAGTGGAAGGAGCATTGGTAAGCCCAAAAGGCATTACCAAGTATTCATAATGGCCTTCATGAGTTCTAAAAGGAGTTTTGTGGGTTTCACGAGCTTTCATTCTGAGTTGGTGATAACCAGATTTCAGATCTAACTTTGAGAAGATTTTAGCTCCACCTAACTCATCAAGCAATTCTTCAATCACTAGGATGGAGAATTTATCCGGTACTGTTATTTTGTTCAAGGATCTGTAATCTCCACAGAACCTCCAGCCCCCATCTTTTTTCTTGGCAAGTAAAATGGGGTTGCTATAAGGGTTGTTACTGTTTTTAATTATTCCAGACTGTAACATTTCCTGAATAATTCTTTCTATTTCATTTTTCTGATCATATGTGAACCTGTATGGCCTTAGATTTGGAATGCTAGCTCCTTCCTTGATGTTGATGGAGTGGTCACAAGCCCTTTCAGGTGGAAAGTCCAACTCCTTTTTGAACACTTCAGGAAATTCTTTCAAAATATCTTCCCACTCCAAGGTACCTTCTTAATTCTGCTCCTGTTCATTTAACCTCCCTTCACAGTATAGCAAGTATTCATCTCCTACTTGCTGAATGATCTGTGTCATGGTTCTTAAGGACACTTCCACATTATTAAGGACTGAATCACCCTTAATCATGCAATCTTGCCCTTCTTGCTTCCATTTCAGTGTCTGATTTTGGAAATTGACCTTCATATTCCTCAATTTGGTTAACCACTCCAACCCTAGAATCATATTTGTCCCTCCCAGTTATAGGACATAAAAATCTGATGAATTTCAATCCCCTGCACTGTCAACTTCAACCACACACATTTGCCATTGTTCTGAATCAACTCTCCATTCCCAACTTGGACCTTATACCCCTTGATTTGACTGTGAGGAATGTCCCATTTATCCACACATTTCTGAGATATGAAATTGTGTGTAGCCCCACTATCAATGAGTACACTGACCATCCTTTCTTCTACGGCCCATATTAATTTCCCCAGTATCTTGAAAGTTCTCATGGAAGGAATACCTTCTCTGCTAAGCACAGAGCCACAGACAATTGCATGGTTTTAGACTCCATGTAATTTGTCTCTCCTTCATCAGAACCACTGGAAACCATCCTGTAGTTTTTCACTTGCAAACATGCCCCCTATTCCAGTTCTCACCACACTTGAAGCATAATCCTTTCTTGTTCCTTTCCATTAGTTCATTTTGAGACAGTCTGGGGCCCATCTTCTTGGAATGAAAACTCTCACCACCTTCTGCTACATTGGTATCCACACAGTAAGTTTCCCAGAAGAAGTTGGATGCAAAATGTTACTGTTATTCTTGCTTCCCTCACTCCATTTAGTATACTAGACTCCCCTAACTGTATTATCCTTCCAGAACTTTTTTCCTTCTTCCTTGTGTTTCCTGGAAATCATCTCCTCATTTTTATTCTCAATTAACAAGGCCTTATCCATGATTTCCGCTAAATATTGTCTTGTACAGCTTTAGCTCCGCCCTGATATCCTTCTTGAGCCCATTTAAAAAAATTCCTCTCATTACCTTGCTGTCCAGATTGTCTATAGAAGCATTTGCCATCTCAAATTGTTCACGGTATTCTTTGACAGAATTCCTTTGTTTCAAACTCAGTAAAGGCCCCAGAGGATTCTGAACCAGTTTTGGCTGGAAGCGACGGGTCAACGCCTTCTTCAACCTCTCCCAAGTCCTTTCCCTAGCCTGTTTCTCCATCCACTAGTACCAGCTAAGAGCCTTGTCTTCCATCGCGAGTACTACCACCTCGACTTTCTCTTCTTCTTCAATATTGTTGAGTCGAAAATAGCGATCAATACGTACCAGCCATCCGTAAGTATGTTCACCATTGAATAACGGTAGGTCCAACTTTCTCCTGGACTGATGATGATTGCGATGTCTATTAGGCGGGGAATAATCCGAGTGACCTTCAGATCCTGTAGAAGAGTCATCATGTCTCGCAGAGTGTTGATGTGAGGTACGATGCGATGCATGTGAAGTATGCGATCGACTGCGCAAACGATGTTCATCTCTTGCGTCCATTCGCGCCATCATCGTAGTTAGCAATTCGGTAGTTTGCTGTAGATTTCTCTCCAAGTTATCCATCCTTGCTTCCATCTTTGCGCACGTCTGTACCATCCATAGTGATCGAAATCTCTGATACCAATGTTAGAACTCTGCAATTCTACAAACTATTCACAGAAATTCAACAAGAAAGCAACTGCAACTTTTATTCACAAGGCAACAATGGCCACAGCCCCCAAAGATAGAGATACAACTCTGATCTTCCCAGAATGAATAAATAGTTACTTACTATTTATAGCAAGTAAGTAACTACTCTACTAACCGGAAAA